ACTGAAAAGTGGAAATAAAGTGTATAGCTTCTTTAGCAATTTAAAGGAACTCAGAGTCAGTTATAAGTAGACTCCACTGCACTAGAATGGTAAAGTATGTCAGCCATAGAGTAGCAGAGAGAGGCAATTTGTCTGGTGTTAACCTGAGTTGCTTAGAATGGCATATAAAGAGTGACATAATGAGTTTGGTCAAGATAAACTTTGTTTTTTGTCATTGCTATATATGGAAAGTAAACTTCAGTCATCCTTTGTGTCAGAGATTACTGGTTTCACAAGAGCTTTTGTAGACTTTTAGATTCTAAAAAACCTTTTTTTGATTTATAGACCTTCCCACAGGTTGGCAAGGAAGTAAAGTAACATTCCCTAGTTGTGTCTTTAATTTCTGCCCCACCCCCTCTTCCTGGCAAAATACCTTCTTTTGTTGTTTATGAATATGTCTTTGCCCCATGTTACTTTGGCATGTTACTGACTAGTTTGATACTACAACTGCACACATGCTGATAATCAATGTCAAAATGGCCAAGGTTCTTTTTCATAATAACATCTCTGTATGTCTTCCTCTGATCTTTTCGGCATTAACGTTAATTATTCAACACATCTTCTTTGGGAAAATGGTGATCTCCATGTTTAGGATGTGTCCTGTCCAGCGAAGCTGTGCTTGCACAAGAATTGCATCAACAATGGTTGTGCAATCTCTTTGCAGAACCTGATTATTAATGATTTTATCTTGCTGCTTTACATTCATAATAGCTTGAAGGTGGTGTTGATGAAATTTTTCCAGCCCTTTGATGTTCCAGCAATAGCTTGCACATTTTTCACAGCTGGAAAATAAAGTGGATACCACCACAGTACGGTAAACATAGTCTATGAGTATACTGTGATAACAGCAAACTAATTGGGTCAAATTCTTTTCTGGCATAACTTTATTGACTTCAATGGAATTATTTTGCAACAAAGAATTTGGCTTCTCTTTCTCTCCCCCCCCCTCTTTTTTTAAAAACTTTTTATTAGTGTTGGCAATTTTGACAAAACTTGTCCAAGGTAAGTGAAATGTTTTATTCTATTAATTTTGGCATCACTGTTCACAAAGTTGGCAAATATATGTAAGATCTTATGTACATTTACTCTATTTTCTTCAGTTTATTACCTTCCTCGGAAAACTTGATGGTGATGGAGGTCTTCTGAAGTTTGTACAGCTAGGGCAAAATCATTTCCATAAAGAAACTAACACATTAGCTCCTTAGTTACTTTTGTGGAGGTATTCAGTCTGCTCAGAATAAAGAGTTGATCACATGTTCAAAATATAATAAAATTCCTAGTACCATCTCTCTAACTGCAGTAATAATTGGTGATGCTAAGATGAGTCCAAAGTGATTCAATGCTCACACAACCTTGTTCATCTTCATTTGAAATTGCAAATGGATCTGAATGATATTCTTAGAGACACTACTGAGCATTCTTTTCTATGAGTGATTCAAAATTCGCACCCTGTCAAAACTTTACGTAGTTCATAACTACAATTTTATTTACAGTATTCTAAACACATAGCACTGTATGGTAAGAGGCCAGTGCCAGTCAAGAAAAAGGATTCCTGCCCTTAAGGGATAAGAATCTAATCGGACAGAGACAAATAGTTGAAGACAAGACCAAACACAGAGTGAGGAGTGGCCACTAGAACTTGAATGTTTCACAGAAAAAGTGAGGGTTTAAAAGTTCCCTAAAGGAAGATGTGGAGGGACTTAAGCAGCTGCACTGCTATCTGAGGCACGTGGTATGGTTTATGGAAAGATAGAGAGTAAGCAGTGGATGAAGGAAACAAATGGGTCAACGAGAAGGGATGATTGGGTGGAACATAAAGAGCGGGATGCGATGTACAAGGAGATGATAGCAGAGATGTTTTTAAGGTGCCATGCAGTCTTCAAAGTTCCAACACACAGTAATGTGATGTATAAATAAACAACAAGTGGGGTATGGAGAAGGAACTGAGAAGTATGACGATAAGTATGGACAACTTAGAGAGGCTGGAGTAACGAGAGAAAGAGGTGACCAGGGGTTGAACAAGAACATCTCATACTTTTTTCTGCCATCTTGTGGAGGCTGCCATCTTGTGCACCAGAATTTGAACTATCGTTTTATAAAATTCTACTCTCTAGCCCCTATGTTTACAAAGATAACCTTAAAAAAGTGAACCAAGGATAACCTATGCTGTGAGGGCTGCCTGAATCTACAATATTACGATAGATAGCTTCCTGCCAGGATGGGTTATAGTATGGCAGTATGCTAATACAAATAGGATAGTGTCTAGGAACTTAGAGGACTCTGCTTTCAGAAGGTGCTTGATGAGACAGTAGAGCCTATGGAATAGAACAGAGACAGTAGAGTGGTGGAAGGAATAAAGCCTCAATGTTGCACTGTCTTCTTTCTTTCATGTTATACTTGAACACACAATATAGTATCAGAAGTGAGTCAGCCTCTACAGATATGTGAAATCAGAAACTAAGAACATTGCAAAACCCCAAACCCCAAAACTAATCAAAGAGAAAATAAGGATTATTGCAGCATACCAGTTCCTACCCCTAAGCAGCTGGATGTGAAAGAGGGTTTGTTTAGCAACTGCACTTTCTTTAGGTCACAATGGGAAAACTATGAAAATGCAATGGGGCTGGATAAAAAGGAGAACAAAATGAGAGCAGCTACACTATTACCTGTAATGGGCAAAGGCTGAAATCTGTTCCAACAGTGTCTGGATATGTCACCAGCAGACCAGGAGGACCTATGTAAAATCCTAAAAGTAGTCCAAAAGTATTTTCAACCCTCAAAAAATGTCATATATGTTGGGGTAGCCTCTGGGACCTCTTCCACTCAGTCCAAGCACTCAGTCGACACCAGTGTCATCACTCAAGTTCCTTTATTTAGTATACAGCAAAGCTGTGCTAAGTTAATCAAACTCAAACATAGGGAATAAGTACAGGGTATACCACATATCCAAAGTTACACAAAAAAACATTCCTTTCCATACATTTACACATCACATTACATTCACTATACATTGCATCGCATGTTTTGGGATTGGCCTAGTTACTTTATAAAAAACAATCCCTGTACAGCCTGTCCACATGCTGTCCATGTTTGATTTTAATCTTTATCTCATCTTTACGCTCTCAACTTTTCTTGTCCATTTTATCTGTTCCTAGTAAATGGTTCCCTGTATGTTCCCTCTCTTATCTTAGCTAACTCGAACATTCTGTCTTTTAGCTTACTGACCCTTTTACTTATTTTAGCACAAACATTCCATTTTCAGCCTGCTAGCTACCTCCCTAATCTTGTCTTTGAAAAAATAAAACTTGCCCCATGTTTAATCTCTCATGTCAAGCCAGGTCTACAATATACAAAAGGTATCTTTTCAACAAGCGTAATCAAGAATCTGGAGAAAACAGATAAGTATATTGCTAAGATGATTCATGCAATGATCAAATCTTAAAATATTAACTAATTTGTGATACATGAATAATTGAAATGGAAGTTGTAGGTGCTTGAATGAGAGCTCCCACATTAACTCTACCAAAAGCTATAGACACGTACAAAGTTAGTGAACAGGTTCACAAGTGGAGCAGACGCAGGGATAATTCACCCAGTAACACAGGGAGAGCATGAAATACAAAGAAAAATACACCAAAATTTGGGCAAAATCAAATACAGCAGAGAAGATTAAATGTAAAGGATGACTTCTGGGAACTATAAAGAAAAACATGATAGTTGCAAATACTTTACATATAGCATCATACCCAATAATTGTGGCAAGAGAAATCATTATGCAAAATCTAGTAGACAAGAAAAAAAAGCGAAGAAAAAATCATCATATTGAGGAGGTCAGCAGTGACTCAGAGGATGAAATTTTGCATATACATGACATTAATGCAGTGAAAAAGAGCAAAAATAAAGCTCAGACTAGCATCAGAGACAAGGCAGCAACACATAAAAACATTCCAAATTGACAGTGGGGCTTCAGTGAATGTGCTAGGCTACAAAGCCTTCCTCAGCATTATGGAAGAGAAGAAAGCAAAATTGCAATCAAGCAAAGTCAAATTAAAATTGTACAATGGCACAATCATAATACCACTAGGATAATGTAAATAACAAGCAGAATGCCAAGGAAAACCAAAGAAGCCAGGAGGGGCTGAAGGACAGAAAAGAGCCTGAGAAGGGCTGAGAGCCGAGCCGAGAGGTCAGGCAGAAGAATTACAGGAGAGAAGTTATACCCTGGGCAGAGGGGATGCAAGCCCCCAGCCCAGCCCGCCCCTTCTGCTCGAGGCCCTGCCCCTCCAACCCCTTTTCCCCTGCCAGAGCTCAGAACCCTTCTCCCCAGTCCCGGGCCATCCGAGCACCCCCAGCCCTGGACCACTGGGTGGGCAGTGTGGCCCCCCCAAACCCTGGAGCGCCGAGTGGGTGGCGCAGACCCCAGCACCAGGAGGGTGGGCAGCCTGTCCTTCCCCCAGCCCCCGAACACCGTGCTGGCCATGTGAGCACTGGCTCCAGCTGCCCGGAGTCCCTGACTTCAGGCTGGCCCTGGCCCTGGGGCTCCAGCCACAAGGGAAGAGTGCAGAGCGCCAGCGGGAAGCAGGAGGGAGCCTGGGGGCGGAGCGTGGGTGGGACCACACAGAGCCGTTTGGGGAGGCACAGCCTTCCCCGGCCTTTGATACCTGCCACCCATGAGTCAGATCCCTTGGGAAGGAGGAGCTGGACCTAGTTTGAGACTGGGGCAGAGACTTTGTGTTTTGTTTGTTTTGAACGTGGAGTAAGGAACTTTGTTTCCCTTTAAGGGATGGATTTTTGTTAAGGAATTAGCCACATCACTGCAATAAGTTACAACAGCAAGCCATGACAGTTACTGAAGCAGGCAGAGAATGGGAAACTGGGGCAGGGCTGCTGCAGAGCCACCCCAGACCACAAGGGAGTTTGCTGGAGAAGCCCAGTAATAAAGATGTACAAACCCGACTCACAGGGATCAGCATCACATCTTATGACATTCTGGTGTACGGATGTGGAGATCACGGCAGAAGCTATGGCAGATCACAAGCACAACCTCATTTGTCTGCTAGAAAGAGATGGGGAAGTAAATCTAAAAGTGAATAAAACCAAGACGAAATTGCACTTGACTACAATACCATACTGTTGACCTTCCAGACAATATGACCTGACCCCCAAAAGGTAAAGCAACACAGAAGACATCCACACTATTAAGATTTGTAAACTATCAAACAAAATTTCTCCCAAACCTCTCACACGTGTGCAAGCCCCTGAGGCAACTCCTGGACAAAGATGCTGTATGGAGGTTATTATCGCAACATGAGGCAGCCATCACGCAGATAAAGGAGCTGGTGACCAACGATGCCATCCTGAAATACTATGTTGTGAATGAAGAGGCAACCATCCAATGTGATGCCAGTAAGACGGGGTTTGGAGAATCACTTCTACAAAAGGGACAGCTGGTAGCTTTCATGTCAAGGTTACGATCACTCGGGGGAAAAAGATAGGCCCAAAATGAAAATTAATGTAAAATGAATCGTTTGACTTGTATGTTCAAGAAAAGGGGGAGAAGAAAAGGAGAATCCCCAAATTCCTTTATATTTCCTTTCCCTTCTGGAGATGGACACATCTGTGACTGCTGGAGTGTGGTTTCTCCTTGCCTGAGAGTAACATAACAGACCCCATATCTGGTGGGCCCGAGGTTGGATACGGTCTATGAACCTGTGCCTGAACAATTATATGCTGTGTTGCTTCTGCTGTCAGCCATCAGTGCCAGAGTATGCTCTTGCTTCACCAGCTCCTTGAACTGGCTCCTCCAGATCTGAGAGTAATGGACCAGAGGAAGGCAAGAGAGTGGCTTCTAGCCATAAGAACTGGCTTCTCAGAGGAGAGGACAGCTGGCAACAATGTCACCTGGTAGAGGTCTGCAATCATCTATCAAGGCTGATCTGGAAATCACCAGAGCAAGGTATTTAAAGGTTATGAAAGGACTCACAGGGGAAAGGCTATGAGCCAAACAGGAAGTTTGGGCAGGAGAGGGGAAGGAGACAAACTGGCCAAGGTCAGAGGAGGTGAGCTGGGGGCAGAAGTCTCAAGTTTCAGGACACCATGCATTCCAATAAAGGGCATTGGATGGCCCCAAAGGACTCTGACCCTAGCCCAAAGAATACTTCAGAGCGGTGAGGAAATTAAGGCAGGGAAATGCAGATGGGGTTTATTTTTGTGTAGATCTGGGCCTTTTTCTTGCTATTAAAGAAAGAGCAACCGTGGCTTAGAATCTTATGCAGAAACTGTGTTCATGTTAAGCATTATACCTTTACATGCCACTCTTAAAGAAGTAAACCAGAAGGCTCATACCTTTGGATGGAGTTCTGAGAGAGGATGTGATTAAGCTATGAGGGAAGTCTGAGGGGTAGGCACTGGTCTCAGGGATTGGGTAGTGGAGCATGTGGTCTAAACTCTCAGACTGGAGGTGACAGACAGAAGATCTGCTCTCTGAGAGTGTGGTCACAGTTCCTAAGATAGGTGACACCATGTTACAGTGAAGTCTCCCTCTCCCCCACCCAACCTGAACTAGCTCAGTATAAGTGAAAATTCACTGTAACTGGAATTTCAACACACACATTGCAACGTACCAAAACACATAGGGATGTTTATTTTACTTCAGTATAGAGAGAATTTCACTTTATCTGAATTCTCTAAAAGGATTCCTTTGCATCTCAAAGTGCTCTTTCATAGGTAAATGTCATACAGTATGTAGAATATATTAAAAATTAATCTCACCTGAAAATGAGTCAATGACGGTGAAGAAAAAGCTGCATGCTGGGTCAGCCAAAGGTAGCAAGATACAGTACATAAAAATAGTGTCTGCTAGAATAACCCTCCCTGTACAGAGTTGTCATATCAGTACAATACAGGAATAGATCTTGCAAGCTGAGGGCTAGATCCAGGGTGTTAGGATCAACATTACAACACCTAACTTTTAGGCACCCCACCATGCAGTGGAACTCAGAATCCTGAGTTAGGTGCCCGAGTTGGGTGCTTTTTACAATGCATCAGAATAGTTAGGCGCCTAAGAATAGGATTCCCAGAAGGCACCAAGCTAATCTGGCTAATAAAAAATGCCAAGGAGAGGAGTAGGGCATAAGTCCCATCCCTTAAAGGTAGTTAAGCACCTAACTCTGGGATGGAGCGAGGTGCCTATCTCTACTCAGGATTGACAGCCATAAACCCTCTCCTGGAGCTAGGTCCCTAAGCCAGGTCAGCGCTTCCTTGTGAGGTCAGCACTTCCTCTTGTACCTGGCTGCCCAATGGTCCATCATGTGTTCATGGAGCAGCCACTGGAGCCTGGTCTCCCAGATGAACATGCTAACTACTAGACTATAGAGCATCTCACTCTCTCTCTGGCCCAATGAATATTTAAGTATTTTATACAAAGTGGAAGAGTTTCAACAGGAGAGATGGAGACAAGCTCACTCCAGAACACCCTGTATCCCGGTGGTTGTGGCACTCACCTGGGAGGTGAGAGACCAGAGTTGGAGTCCCTGTGCCAAATCCCGCAGAATGCAGATTTGAACCTGAGTCTCCCACAGGCTTTGTGAGTGCTCAACCACTGGGTTATTGGGTTTAAAGGGCCACTATCCCATTTTGTGGGGGTTTGGCGTGCTCAAAGCCCAGATACTGGATCAGGCTGCATAGGTAAGATAGATGGGGAATGCCTAGTTTATGAATCCCAGGGTTTAGGCACTGAGCAACTTCACAGTGTTAATTGCGTTAGGACTCCAGAGGCTTTGCACATGCACATAGGCAGAAATTTAGTTGCCTACACAATTAGGCAGCAGCTGAGAAGGGATATTGAATATTTAAATTTTGGATTTAGGCACCTAAAGTGGCAGTTAGTATTACAATTATTTATTTTTACTACCCTAGTGCCCAGGTGCCCTCGTCATGCATCAGGATCCCATTGTGCTAGGGGTTGCACCACTTACCTTTGTGGATCTAGCCTTAATTTCTTCTAGAACCTCTGCCTTGCTTCTGTTAATGCTGTGCATTGCTTATAAACAACCGATCTTGTCTCCAAATGGGAGTTTTGCTTGAAGAAGAATTGCAGGGGTGGACCATTTATAGAATCTTCTGGAGTTAATCAGGCTAACATATTCACTCACACAGGAAATAACCATATGGTTCTGAGCTGGAACAAGTGTGAAAAACATAAGGAAAGAAAGGAAAGCAATAGGTCCCATGAAAACACTCTGGTTAACACTTCCAGGTAATAGAAAGTAACCAGTCCCTCTATGTCACCTGATTGCAAAGAAAACAAAGAAAAATCAAAATTCTATCTGTTTTGCAAGGTACTTTTGCCCTTCCACAGTGACTTCCAATCAATAACCTTGAAAAAAATCTGTTCCTGCAAGACACATAGAACCACAGAATATTAGAGTTGGAAGGGACCTCGGGAGGCCCTCTAGTCCAATCCCATGCTCAAAGCAGGACCAACCCCAACTAAATCATCCCAGCCAGGGCTTTGTCAAGCTGGGCCTTAAAAACCTCTAAGGATGTAGATTCCACCACCTCCCTAGGTAACCCATTCCAGTGCTTCACCACACTCCTCTCACCACACTCCTAGTGAAATAGTTTTTCCTAATATTCAACCTATTAGGAGGGGGGCAAACTGCATGCAGTACTCCAGATGTGGCCTCATCAGTGCCGAATAGAGGGGAATAATTTTTTTCCTTGATCCGCTGGCATGGTGTTGTTTGTGTTAAGTTCCATACGGATGGTGACCAAAACTATACAAAAATGCAGAGTTTGGTACAAAAGGCTCCACACAAAAAACAAGCTCTGAAATGTGTTTGTCACCAAATGTGAAAGGTCTGAGGGCTTTAACCTAATCCAAAAGCGAACTATAGTCACATGACAAAGGTCATCGCAATGTAGCTGGAAACCATCACTCTTTCTTTACACCACAGTCATGTTCATGCTAGTTCTGCTGCTAAGTAATTAAGTGAATGTAATTTCAGAAGAATATTTTAAAGTGACTCAGAGCAAATGATAGTCATCATAAGAAAACACATTAAAAACCAGATTTATTCTAGATATGGTAGGATGCAGGTTCCAAGAAAAGACAAGTATGTGCCTGTGGATGTAAAACTAACTCTTGTGGTCATCCACAAAACTTAATAGGTATCAGGTTTAAAAACAAACAAAAGGAAGTATTTCTTAACACAACGCACAGTCAACCTATGGAATTCATTACTACGGGATGTTGTGATGGCCAAAACTATAACTGGGTTCAAAAAAGAATGAGGTAAGTTCATGGAGGATAGGTCCATTAGTGGCTATTAGTCAAGATGGTCAGGGATGCAAAACCATGCTCTGGCTGTCCCTAGTCTCTGATTGCCAGAAGCTGGGAGTGGACGACAGGGGATGGATCACTTGATAATTGCCCTGTTCTGTTCATTTTCTCTGAAGTACCTGGGATTGGCCACTGTCGGAGAGAGGACACTGGGCTAGATGGACCTATGGTCTCACCCACTCTGGCTGTTCTCATGTTCTTATGATATGTCAGGGTAATATTCAGGATCTAAAAGATTGCACATCTTGAGCCACACGCTCCAATCCATTATATACTCAAAAAGGGAGCAAAATAGGGGGAAAAAAAGTCCCCAAACAAGCTGACAAGTGGAAACAGGGGGTCTGCTACCTGACCCTGTCCTGTTAGGAGATCCTTTCACTCTAAACATTCATGGCTAGGTTTCTAAAGCTTTAGTGGTGGGAGGTGGCAGCTGCCCTCCACGACACCCCCCACTTGGGATTAGCTGGATTTTCACATGGATACCACTTGTAACTTTTCCTTTGCATCTTCTACTGGCCCCTCCCTATGCTTCCAGGTCCTTGTGTGGGTGGGAGCAACTGCCAGGATGGGGGATAATGGCAGCACAGCTTCACTAGCAGCTATTCCTCTATGGCCATGTCTACACTACGGCTGCTACAGCAATGCTTACGGATGGAAGGGGGTTTACTGTCAATGTAGGTAATCTGCCTCCCTGAATGGCAGTAGCTAGCATGACAGAAGAATTCCACCTAGCCATGTGTACATCAGGGGTTTGGTAGCTTGACTGTGGCATTCAGGGGTGTGAATTTTTTAATCCCCAGAGCAACACAGCTAAGTCAATATAAATTTTAAATGTAGACCAGGCCTATTGGAAATGGGAACACTGGAGAGCTAGGCAGAAGAAAGAGTACTCTGCTGGGATCACCCAGAATCTGTAACATTCCCCACTGCTCTGCTGCTGTTATAGGCCACAACTCCTGACCCCTTCCAAATTGGAAGTAGTTTCTTCTCGCTGAGGGGAAGATGTTGCTTTATTTTACAGATTTAGACTACGCAGGGTAGTATGGGGCCCCTGTAATTAGGGTATCTTGGATTATTCAATAATGGCACTGTCAAGGAGGCTGAAGCAGATGATGACTTATAATTACATGTGTCCATTAAAAATCAGAAAAGGAACAATACCATCTGAGATTTATGTCAAATGAAAATGAAATACAAGATTACTCATGTCAAATTCTGGAAACAGGTTTGCAAACGCAGAATAGTAATAATTATTTACTCATAACAGACTGAAGATATTTTGAAATAATAATACAAGAGCCACGCTAAACCGCACAAATAATTGGTAGTCTCTCTCCACTGCTAAAGAAAAATCTAACAGCAAAGAGCTATGATGAGGTCTTATACTTCTAAATATCCCTATTTTTACAAAATATACAGTATCTTTACTTTAATGTGTATTTGCATGAATTTGTTTACTTGTGTGCCATGAAGTATTATCATGAATGTTAAAATGAAAGTACAATAGTCAATGAAAATTAACAAAGTACATTTAACAACATGTTATCCTTGTTATTTTAGGTGCCAATTCTACACCTACTTAGATAAGTAACTTTGCCCACATAGATAGTCCCCCCTAACACAATGAAACCACACAAGTGGTTTGCCTACCTTGAGTGCATTGCAGGATCACGGCTTAATTCACAATTCAGAACTTTGCAATGGTTGTTCATGTGAATCAGCATTTATCAACTTCAAAATGTTATAAATATTAATGCATAGATATTACAGTGTTAGGGACTACAGGAACACCATTAAAAAGTCAGATAGAACTAATTAAATCTCACAACACTATACAAAGACAGGCAAATGTTACTATCTTCATTTTGCAGGTGGGGAAACTGAGATGGAGAAATAAATGGGAGTTTTGTGATATTGGACATTAGTTAATCTCTAAGGTTGCTATATTCATTCTTTGTGCCAAACAGTTAATGAATGATGAATTAGGAAGCAATAGGTTTCATGTAATTTATTGTGTTTATTTCTATTTTAAACTAAAAATATTTACTCTTGTAATATTGTAAAAATATTTACTCTTGTAAAAGTTGGCTAGATTGTCGGGCTCAACGGGTAGTGATCAATGGCTCCAGGTCTAGTTGGCAGCCGGTATCAAGTGGAGTGCCCCAAGGGTCGGTCCTGGGGCCGGTTTTGTTCAATATCTTCATAAATGATCTGGAGGATGGTGTGGATTGCACTCTCAGCAAATTTGCGGATGATACTAAACTAGGAGGAGTGGTAGATACGGTGGCAGGTAGGGATAGGATACAGAGGGACCTAGACAAATTGGAGGATTGGGCCAAAAGAAATCTGTTGAGGTTCAACAAGGATAAGTGCAGGGTCCTGCACTTAGGATGGAAGAATCCAATGCACCGCTACAGACTAGGGACCGAATGGCTCGGCAGCAGTTCTGCGGAAAAGGACCTAGGGGTGACAGTGGACGAGAAGCTGGATATGAGTCAACAGTGTGCCCTTGTTGCCAAGAAGGCCAATGGCATTTTGGGCTGTATAAGTAGGGGCATAGCCAGCAGATCGAGGGACGTGATCGTTCCCCTCTATTCGACATTGGTGAGGCCTCATCTGGAGTACTGTGTCCAGTTTTGGGCCTCACACTACAAGAAGGATGTGGATAAATTGGAGAGAGTCCAGCGAAGGGCAACAAAAATGATTAGGGGTCTGGAACACATGACTTATGAGGAGAGGCTGAGGGGGGATTTGATAGCTGCTTTCAACTACCTGAGAGGTGGTTCCAAAGAGGATGGTTCTAGACTATTCTCAGTGGTAGAAGATGACAGGACAAGGAGTAATGGTCTCAAGTTGCAGTGGGGGAGGTTTAGGTTGGATATTAGGAAAAACTTTTTCACTAGGAGGGTGGTGAAACACTGGAATGTGTTACCTAGGGAGGTGGTAGAATCTCCTTCCTTAGAAGTTTTTAAGGTCAGGCTTGACAAAGCCCTGACTGGGATGATTTAGTCGGGGATCGGTCCTGCTTTGAGCAGGGGGTTGGACTAGATGACCTCCTGAGGTCCCTTCCAACCCTGATATTCTATGATTCTATGTTTCTAATTGTCTCTGGGGGCGAGAGAGTGTTTTTAATCTTAACACATACTTTCAGAATTTTGAAGCAATGGGCTCACTGCTTTTCAGCAGTGAGAAGGGAGTCGCTATTTTAAGTAGCATCATTTGTGATTTGACAATACAAGCAGCACTAAGAATGTTGCAATAAGCATGGCTGTTTGCCATATGTAATTTTCAGATGCATGGGGTTCTTTTTCTTAAAATATTTTGAAGTGGGAATTACAGGGAATTACATTTCTCCAGTCAGTTTGCTGATAGACCTGTGCAGTCTTTCAGGATCCCATAAATCAGGTCCCGAGATCAACGGGATGAACTTTCCCTCCCCAAAATGTCTTTTCATTTTTTCCATTTTAAGCAGTCAGAAACAGTTACTGCCACCAAGACCCTTTCCCACCACTAATAGGGCATGTATGCTAGTGTATCATAGATCATATAAGAGTAGGGTTAGAGGGATCTTGAGAGGTGATCTAATCCTGCCCCCATGCTGAGGCAGGACCAAGTATACCTAGACCATTATTGACAGGTGTTTGTCTAACCCGTGGTTCTCAAATTTTTGTACTGGTAACCCCTTTCACATAGCAAGACTGAGTGCAACCCCCCTTAAATATATAAAAAGTGTTTTTAATTTATAACACTATTATAAATGCTAGAGGTAAAGCGGGGTTGGGGTAGAGGGTGACAGCTTGCGAACCCCCATGCAATAACCTCACAACCCCCTGAGG